CAGAACAGAATTTCAAATTCTCATGAACTTCAGACTTCCTGAAGATATGGAGGTTGGATGAACCCCTGAAACTATTGCCCTGAGATAATCTTTAAAACTTAAACCAAAAATATTCCCTGAGGTCTTCTTAAAACCAAACAGTAGTTTAGCTTAACTAGTAAAAAAAAAAAAAAAGAAAAAAAAAGTCTGCCTTGAACATTATGCTCTTTTAAGAACTATCTATATAGGATCAAATTGATAACAACAACTGGAAAGATTAGGCAGAAACCTTATGGGGCAGTGAATTATGTTAATGGGCGAGGAACAACTCATAAAAGAAGGGTGAGAATGGCTGCACAACTCAAGGAATGTAATCAATAAAAAAAGAAAAGAAATTACACACATATGCTCACCACTGAACATTAGTAAACTGGCATCATCATTTACACATCAGCCTCTGTTTTAGGTAAGTGTGACTCAGGTGGTGGGGAAACGACCAAACTCTGGGTCATGATGACCCAAGAGAGGCACTGCTCACAGAAGGGCCATGTGAGCAGCCCAGTATAAGTCCCAGATACCCCTCTATCTCCTCACTCAGTTACCTGCCATATTTCAGATGTCGGTCCCATGACCCTCATTTGCCCAAGCTTGAATGCTCAGAATCACTTCTGAGAGCTTCCATACTGCCCACATCCAGAAGTCCTAGAAATTCCATCTTGTAACTATTTCTTTATCCATCCCCTCATCTCCATTCAAAGGCCACTCCTACAGTTCAGGTCTTCTCCATTCTTCACATGGACTCAGGTTTCAGTCTCCCTAACTTCTGTCTCACTCTCTCCAAAAACCCTCTCCACACGGCCACCAGAGTCCTTCTAAGCAAATCTGATCATTTCAGTCACCTGTTTAAAATTAGTAGCTTCCCCCAACCCTCAAGATAAAGTCCAACCTGTTTACACCATCTAAAACCTCCTTGTGCTGGCCCGGTGCTGTTTCCCCTTTCTTCTACCTCTGCTCCCCACTCCTCCCACTCCACATTCCAGACATACCAATACCTGGAATTCTCTAAACAGTCTGCCTCCTTGCACCTCCACACCTTTGCACTAGCAGTTCCTCGATGAGAAATGCCCTAGGAAACAGCTAGGTTCAGATTCAGACATCACCTTCTCTGTAAAGTCTTCCTAAACCCTTCTTCTATCCACAAAAAAGAAAGCTGTCCCACCTGCTCTTATGGTACCTCTATCTCTATCACCTCACTTACTATTTTGCATGACAATTATTTGTTGATATGTCTGTCTCCCTCCTGGACTGTGAGTTCTTGGATGGCAAGGGTCATACTTTATTCTTCTTTGTTTCCCATCCCAGCATTAAGTAAAATATCTAGCACTTAAAAAAAAAGAAAAAAAAAAACAGTTGCCAATCAATTCAATTCTGACTCATGGTGATACCACGTGTGTCAGAGGAGAACTACGCGCCATAGGGTTTCCAATGGCTGATTTTTCAGAAGTAGATCACCAAGCCAAAAAATAGATTGTCTTATAAAATAAACAATATCACCCATAAGTAATGTGCTCCCTTAAACAAATTAATTATATGAGACCAAACGGTCAACAGTTACCCAAAAGCAAAGATGAGACAGCAAGAAGAGGAAGGGAAGCCAGATCAATGGAAATGGAACAAACAGAATGGAAATAATGAGCATGCTGACACATTGTAAAAATTGTAACCAATTGCATGAAATAATTTGTATAAAAATTGTTAAAACTAAAAACAAAACAAAACCTGTTCCTGTCGAGCCAATTCCGACTCATAGCAACCTACAGGAGAGCATAACTGCCCCATGGGGTTCCAAGGAGCAATTGGTGGATTCAAACTGCCAAGCTCTTAAACCACTGTGCTACCAAGGCTCCAAAAATTGTTAAAGGGGAATCTAATTTGTTGTGTAAACTTTCATCTAAAACACAATAAAATATTATTAAGAAAAAAAAAGAAGTAGATCGCCAGGCCTTTCTTCAGAGGTGCCTCTAGGTGAACTGGAACTGTCAACCTTCCAGTTAGCAGCTGAGCACGGAACAGTTTGTACCACACAGGGACTCCAAAATATCTAGCATATAAAAACCAAACCCGTTGCCGTCAAGTAGATTCCAACTCATAGCAACCTTATAGGACAGAGTAGAACTACCCTCTAGGGTTTCCAAGGAGCAGCTGGTGTATTCAAACTGGCAACCTTTTGGTTAGCAGATGAACTCTTAACCACTAGGCCACCAGAGCTTCATAGTCATTGCCATCGAGTTGATTCCAAATCATAGCAACCCTCACCCTAAATAAATGTTTCTTGAATGAAAAAAGAGTAAATGAATGGAAGCTTTATATTAAAGCCTTTCTCTTGCTAAATCTGAAGATTCAGCTTAAGTCCCCACTTATGCTAAACAGAACTGAGTCATATCTCAGCATCTGACTTGTGCTAGGTGCTCATTAAACAATGGCTGAAGGAATAAACCCATGGATCATATATCCCTAAATTCTCACAATTTTGGTTGCCCTTCTGAACCTTCTGCCAGATCTCCATGACCCTCTTAAGTTACTAAAGATAAAAAAAAAGTCCAAATACTACCTATGCAGTATTATCTCATTTATCTAGATATAACCACTCAGAAGAAAGTCAAGAAGCAGGAAGAGGAAAAGGCCTATAGGCAGTAAGAGAGAGAATTTTAACCATAACAATCATCAATAACTTACACTTCAGTCATGATTTATAGTTTTCTCATTTCATTCTCACATCCACCTTAAAGTAAATAGCCATTGCACCTTGCCTAAGGTCACACAGCTGTTTAGCCCAGCTTTAGACACAAGTCTGGTCCACTTTTCACTCTTCCAAAGTTGTCTCAAATACATGCCATAAATCCATGCCTTTTATTCACAGGTAAGCTCTTCAGACTAATTCATAATTGTGACTACTTTGCATGTATCCTTACAAGGAAGTCCACGTGTGTGTATCTGTACATGGGTGTACAAAGGTTTGAGTATGTCTCTATTCCCAAATTAGAAGGAGTGACTGGTGGAGGTAAGCATGATGCCAGAATCAAGGAACGACAGTTGTCAGGGATGACACAGATAGAAACCATGAAGAATAAAACCTGAAGAAATGAAGTCAGGCCAGCAGCCTGAGGACACTGAGTAAGGAAGCAAACATTCTTCCTTCCCTACCCAGTGGCCTGTGAAGACCTCAATAGTCATACAGAACTGAGATGTGCAATGGTCACCCTGACTCATCAAAAAAAAAGTCAAAGTATGAAGGCAAGCAAACATGTCATTGGTTTTAAAGAGATTTCCAACAAAGATGGTTAAAATAATAGAATTCAAGTGCTTTTTAAAGAGATGAGCCATCTGGAAAATTTACTTAAATGGAATAATCTTTACTCTATACAAGCTAAGGAACATATGCCCAGAGGGCTCCAGAACCACAGATCCTAAAAATTAGTTTGTCCAGTAAGCCAACCTATCAGATCATCTATAAATGATGCAAAAGAGATTACAGATCACATTTAAGACCTCAGGGGAAAACCCTCATCTTGCAACACAAGGCAGTGTCTTCCACTCCTCCTGACTGTTGCCATGCATGACAAACATCCCCATACACAGAGATGAGTCCAGCCATACACATGGACACACGAATCACAAGAGGGGAGCCAGTTCTCTGGACAACAGTAAAATTAGGGAGGCTGAAGAGGAAGCTGAGGAGTAAAATAGAGCAATTGGGAAATTGAAAGAGAAAAGGACATAAAGCTGACTAGGGTGCCAGTGAGTAACTGCACCCAGTACAAGATTCTTGCACCCAACTGCTGCAGGTGCTGGGGCAGCTGCCCCTCAAACTGACAGAATTTCTGAGCTTCTTCACAATTGAGGGAGGGGAGAGGAATCTCCAAGGTCCCAGTCTCTCCCAGGCTGGGAGGGGATTTTTCAAGGACAGAAGCACCTGAGGGATGGGGCCATAGTAGATTGTCGTCTCAGCACCTCCAACGTAGCTTTGCTCAATGTACAGATTTAAACAATATTATTTGAGATGGAAAAAAAGTAAAAGTGGATTGAAATGACAGTTTTAAGAATCTAGTCTACAGAAATACTCATGTAAGTACCATAATAAGGATATCCAATGAAGCATTATCTGTACAATTGAAAAACTGGAACCAACGTAAAGGGCCATTAACAGAGGACTGAACAACGGTACCAAAAACCAAAACCGTTGCCATCAAGTCGATCCTGACTCACAGCAACACTATAGGACAGAGTAGAGCTGCCCCAAAGGGTTTCCAAGGCTGTAAATCTTTAGGGAAGTAGACTGCCACATCTTTCTCCCATTGAGTGGTTGGTGGGTTCAAAACACCCATCTTTCAGGTTAGCAGCCAAGCACTTAACCACTACACCACCAGGGCTCCCTAAACAATTGTGCAGCCTTGAAATTAATTAACATGGAATAATACAAAACATTAAAAAGAAAACTTGATCTGTAAATAGAAAAGAATGTCACTGATAAATGCGGAGAAAAAAGCAAATGGTAGAATTATATGTATAGTATGATCCCATTTTTGGAATAGACAGAACAAAACTACACCTATTGAAGGAGTATAAATAAAAACCAGGATGGGCACACAAACTGCTAATGGTGTTTACCATGGGTTGCTGGGAAGGGCGAGTTAGTTTTTTTTTTTTTTGTAAAAAAAACTAGTTGCCGTGAAATTGACTCCAAGTCATGGCAGCCCTGTGTATGTCAGAGTAGAACTGTGCTCCATAGGGCTATCAATAACTGACTTTTCAGAAGTAGCTCGCCAGGACTTTCTACTGAGTTACACTTTGGTACTGTTTGAATTTTCACATAAAGCATACATTAATTAAATAATGATAATATTTAAAAGGTGCTGTCAGAGGCATTCCTTTCCATTTCCTTCTTACTCCCTGGTTGGGCTCACAGCCCTGCCGCCTCTGCCTTGACCCTCCACCAAGCCCTCCACCCCAGCCCCACTTACAGATGCAGATAGCAGCCAGAAGGCGGACGGCAGCATAGGGGGCCACGCAGCTGGGGAAGAACGGCTGCACCATGTAGTTGGCAAAGGTGATGGCAATGACGGCCTGGCTAGTGGGCTCGATGATGAGGAGGGAGGTCCAGAGTCGTATGAAGGCAAGGAATCCCCCGAAGGCCTCGAGGATGTAGGCATAGCTGGCCCCAGATTTCTTAATGGTGGTGCCCAGTTCTGCATAACAAAGGGCCCCAAAGACCGAGAAGAGGCCCCCAACAGCCCAGATGACCAGGGAGAGGCCAAAGGAGGCACTATACATGAGCACGCCTTTGGGGGAGACGAAGATGCCTGAGCCAATCATGTTCCCCACAATCAGGCACACGCCGTTAAGCAGTGAGATCTCCTTCTTTAGCTTTACCTGCTCAGGCCCTGGGCTAGCGCCATCAGCCAAAGGGGAGGAATCCCTGTCGTGCTGGGGGGCCACTTCATACTTAACACCGTCAACCATGGCGGAGGAGGAGAGGAAAGCCTTCACCAGCTCCCTGGCATCGCCCTCTAGGGAAAAAAGATGGTGATATATATAGGGCAGTTGGCAAATTACATAGAAGGCCTTGCCTATAGGGCCCAGTGGTGGCAACCCATCCAACACACCATTTCAGAGACCTCTCTCTTGCCTCCCTGCTCCCACTAACCTCTTTTTCTCTGGCTCAATCATCAAAACAACCCAGCTTGAATTTTTAAAGGAGGCACCCCTTCCCCAGAGAGACGGCATCCGTCTCTCATCATTAGGATAGTGCTGCCCACCTAAGCCGTTTCTATCTGAACCTGCTGTGATACAGGACAAGACAGGAATGACGGCAGCTTCCAGGTGCAGTCATAGGGGTTTGAGTCTGAGTTTTCAACCTTACACAAAAAAGTCTGTCTTCCCTCCAATTTCAGTCTCACCTGTCATGTGTGCTGAAATGCAACATTAGGAACCAACTTTGCAAGCAGTTAATCTGTGGGGTCTTCTCACAACATTGCTGTTTTCTCCAAGGACCCTAGCTCTGGCAAACCTAGGGGCTTCAGGAGTCGCCTGCTGGAACCCACAACCATCCCGCTGCTCAGGGAGTATTCCTTAACAACCCTCAGCTGGAGTCTTCACCCCTAGCAAATCCCCCACCCCCACCCCACCCTGAAAGAACATGGGCAATTCTCCTCTTTTCCTTGCTGTTCCTTTCCCAAGTACCTTTCCCAACCCAGTATTCCAGGCCTCCTGCCATCAAATCATATTAGCATAATTGCATCACTCAAAAAAGTTTGAATGAGAGACCCAAAACCAAAACCCACTACCATCCAGTCGATTCCGACTCATAGCAACTCTGTTGGACAAAGCAGAACTGACCTATAGGGTTTTCAAGGCCATACATCTTTACGGAGCGGCTGGTGGGTTCAAAGCACTGACCTTTCGGTTATCAACCAAGCTCTTAACTACTGTGCCACCCGGGCGCCTCTGGAATGAAAGGATGAGCCAAATGCACAGCCGAACCTAGGGATGATTGGAGGCAGCTGATGACTGCTCCCCACCCAGGAGTTGCTACTGGGGAGATGCCACCTAAAGCCAAGGCAAGGAGATAGCTGAAGCAGGACAACAGGTGCCAGAGGAAACCAAGGCAGGAGACAGCTGAGGGGAAGACAAGAGAGGATGATGAAGCAAGTGAAGAAGTACTGGAGTGAGAGGCAGCCAGGAGGGGTGACTGGACACTGCAGAGCAGCAGAGAGATGGGTTGAGCAAGGTGAGTGAGGATGAGAGAAGGGTGGGATGCACACTCACTCCCTGGCCCAGGATGTAAGTAGGTTCCTGTGGAAGCAGTGGTGGCAGCAGCGGCAGTCAGGGAGACGAGCCCTCAGGCCCCTGGAGGAACTGTGGCCCAACTGCTCCTCCCCCTTTCAGCCAGCGGTAAAAGGGAAGGGCCGGCAAATGCTTACGGATTTAAGTTAAATTGAGGAGGGCGGGGGAAGCGAGGAAGGAGAGGAGGGGCATGTTAAGCAACTGTCTGGGTCTAAGGTTCACTGGCCCTTCACATCTGCAAAAGGGGCTGCTAGGAGCTCTAGGCTCAGCATTTTCTGAGATAAGAAGGCGCTCTCTCAGGAATCTCCTTTGTCAGCTCCACGCTAGGCCTGGGGACCCAGAAAGACATGCAGCTGGGTGCAGTTTCCCCAGCTTCCAGGGAAAGCAAGTTAGCTGAAGACAGGGCAATAACTGAGAAGGAATGCACAGCCCTCACTCTCCATCCTCCATGCCCCACCCTAGCCCTACTTCTCTCTTACTCAAACAATTAAGAAAAGCAGGAAAGTTGCATAGTGTGACACAAAAGCTTACTCACATGCCAAGATTAGAGGAAGTGTAAGAGAGGTCCCTACACCCCATGATTGGGCATCCTCAGAGAAGAACTCTGCACACTTCCCCATGTAGGATGAGGGGCAGCAGACCCTAAGGTTGGGCCATTATCCCAAGACTGAGGCTCTTGCTACTTCAAAGGAAACAAGTCTGATAAATGAAACTCAAACCCTTGGCTCCATCCGCACCCCACCCACATGCCCTATCATCCTTAAAAAAACATACCAAGATCTTTGGGGTAAGCATGAGGTCCTATAAATACCTTCACCGAATACAAGTTGTTTACCGTATCCCAATTTCCTAAATATATGGGGGTAATAAGATTTGACTGAGCTATCCTAGGCAGATAGGCCAGAGAGGCAGAGGATAACGAGCATTTTTTGGAAACCACATAGTTTATTCTATCTTTATGGTCTACTTTAAATCTGATATTCCAGTTCTGTTTTACCAATAGAAACACACCCTAACCATTCAGAAATCCAAATGCCTGTCTATCTGTCCCTTCTCACACCCTTTCTAATAACCTTGGTTATTCTACAACCAGAGACCTAAAACTCCCTGCGAGATATATCTCTACCCCACATCCTCGCATTCTAGCCCCTAAGCTTTTTATTATTTTAAACCAAGAGGGGGATCCTGGTGTTAGCCTTACCAGAGATAATGCTTCTTCTAAGACACAGTCTCACAAATATCTGAATTTCATCCAGAGGAGACTGGGCTTTTCTCCTGCCCCACCCACCAAAATGCTCTTCTAATATAGCTACCATTTATTGAGCATTTACCTGGTCCAGACACACTGTTAAGCACTTAAGTACATTATCCTATTTAATCCCTGGGTGGCGCAAACTGTTGAGAGCTAGACTACTAGAAGAAAGGTTGCAGTTCAAACCCACCCAGCGGTGCCTTCAAAGACAGGCCTGGCGATCTGCTTCCAAAAGGTCACACAGCCTTGAAAACCCTACAGAGCAGTTCTACTCTGCACACTTGAGGGTCATCATGAGACAGAATCTACTCGACTGCGACTAACAACCCCCACCAAACCAAAACCAAAACTGTTGCCATCAAGTCGATTCTGACTCATATTGACTCAACAAGACAGAGTAGAACTGCCCCATAGATTTCCAAGCAGTGGCCGGTGGATTCTAACTGCTGACCTTGGTTAACAGCCGAGCTCTTAACCACTTCGCCACCTAGACAACCATTTAATCCTTCGGCAGCCCCTGAAGGCAAGTACTAAATCACCTGCCAGGTTCCAAACTAGAGAGGGAGGCCAGTCATCTGGAAACCCAGAGCCCATGCCCTTAACCACTGAAGTGTACTGTCTCCTGTACCTTACTACCCCCTCCAAGTATGTAGACTGGAAAGACTGGAAAGTGATTCAGGTGGCTCCTTAATGACTTCCCTGGGGGAATATGTGATTAGACTAAAAAGAAAGCCAACAGCTTCTGCCATCCTTCAGTCTGTAGTCCAGCATAAAGGCTCCAACAAAGCTTGTTCATCTCCTTTCCCACTGCTCCTCCTGTTTCTCATCCCTTTGCAGGGATGAGAGGTGATTACAAGTCCTCTTGGCAGTGCTCCTATTGCTAGGGTGCCCACTTGTAAAGCAAAAAAAACACACGTGGAAACACATCATCACGTCTGCCCTCTTAAGATCAAATTCACTAGTACCACAGGGTACGCGTGTGTCCTAACATGATGCGAAGAAAAAGAATGAGGGAGGGAGAAAGGAAGGGGAACCCGTGAGGGAATGTGAGGAGAGAAGTGTGCAGGGCTTCGTTCCTAGCTTGGGGTATCTGAAAAGTTAAATCCTCTTCATGTAACCTAGAGACCAAAAACCACTAGGGAAAACCACACCAGCAAACAGCATACCCTAGTGGTCTCACCAGGAAGATCTACCCAACACTTCAGTCCGCCCACGCAAACTGGCCAGGAGGTTGCCATTCATCCAGAGGATGCCCCCCTTTTCTTAACCACTGCCTAGCACTGTGGGCAGCTCACATTTCTCCCTAAGGCCCTGGTTCTTGGAGTAATGCTTCCACTAATCAAGCAGCCTACGGTCAGCAGAACCCCCGGCTCTCCTGAAGGGGCTTCTCCTACCCAAGGTTTTACAGGAAAACCTTGCTGAGTCTGAACCCCTGGGCGATAACTGTTCATGATACAGTATCCTTGTCTTCTTCTCCTGTCTGAGGTGCAGTCATCTCTAAGGTCCTAGCAGAGATTACAGGACAATACACTCATCCAACAGCCAGCGGGATAAATCTCGGAGTCAAGGGTTCAGGAAAGGCAGGCTGCAGGAACCCTAGCATGCAGTCAGTGCCTGGCACAGCAGCTAGTGGAACCCTTCACCCTGGCCCCAGCCGCAAATGACAATACCAAAACACATATCCTCCAGAAACCAGCACACACTTCAGGGGCTTGGCTCCTCAGCCTGCCGAGGGAGCTTCTGTGAGAACACACTTTCTCCTCCAGAGACCCCACGTTCTGCCTTCCTGGCTCCAACTGGTCTGCGCTGCCTCCCCTAACAGCAGGAGCAGAAAACAGACACACTCTTGTCCCCATAGAGTCCCCCATCACCCCAAGCTAGAAGCTCAGCTCCTCCCTGCCCAGTTCTCCTCTGTTTTTCTGTATCACACTGCAGCTTTTTTTTTTTTTTTTTAAGTGAAACAGGAAAGAAATTCCCGTGGCCAGAGCTTCCATTAACGTAGGGTTGAAGTCTCTGGGCAGGACTATGCCCAGGGAGGGCAGGGGCTGGGATCAGGAACCAAGAGGCTCTTGGGTCTCCGTTCAGCCAGTTTTCAGGATTCTCACTCCATCCTTCTCCTGCACTTTCCCTCTCACCCACTGTCCCTCCTCTCCCACCTCTTACCTGTCCAGTGGCAGGTGTGGGGAGGAGGGGCTACCAGCACACTTGGGGGAGGAGAAGGCACTACGAAGGGGGACTGGGGGGAGAGGGTTATGGCTCAAGCTGCAGCAGCTGTTGACTCTGAGGAGCAGAAAAGGCAGAGCGTGCCGTGGACCGAAATTGAAAACAGGAAAACATATGTGTGACTCTGACCGGCAGCGGGGAGGGGCCGGGGGATGGGCTGAAGCTGGTCAGACCCAGAAGACATCGCTGCCTGCTCGCCTCCAGGCACCTTCTCCACGCTCCTCCTTCCCTACCGCAGCTCCTGTACTTCGCTGTAGCCCTACATTTACTTAGCCTGTCAGCTTTTCCCAGTGATTTACAGTTCACTTCTGATGCCCATTACAACTTCCCTCTCCCCTCATTCTTCTTCCTACTCATGTCTCACTCGCGTACTATCCTTAGTCCTGCTGGGGGGCATATGATCCCATGGTTAGAACAATGGAACTGTGCAGTCCCACCCCAAGAATTTCTGTGCCATTTTGGCATCTATGTAAGGTAATACATGCCAAGGAAGACCACCTGTGGGGATACAGTCAAGCGCACACCCAAACACCAAGCAAGCCCACTCACATTGCAGATCCCCAGTTGGTTCGGGTGATGCCTATGTCAACAGGTAAGAGCCAACTAGGGCCACAGCAAGCTGTGGGTACCCTGGACAGGCTAATGAGTTGCCACCCCTTCAAACCAGTATTATTTAAATATTTGTTCAACGTTTACTTAGCGGAAGTCGGGGAAAAAACTGGTTTTCTCAGAATCACAACTGTAAGCCGCTTTATATTCAAAATTTGGGATTATTACATGAATGCATCTGAAGCAGACAACTTCTTAGTAGGCATATTAAACCATTTAACAAGTAGACAATAGCATAAATTTCTCATTCTCAGCAAGCAGCACTTCATGGTGCATTATGTATTTTCAGAACTCCAGCTGGACTGCTGCCTTTAGGCAACTGTCAGCTGGCTGATCTTGAGGCTTCACCCTGCAACTTGCACCTGCATGTTATAAAATTACACCAGAGATAAGTGGTCCAGGTAAGGAGTCAAGGATTCTGTCTATGTCAGTGGGCGGGAGCCAACTTATATTTCACCAAGACAGAAATCAGAGTTCACTTGGCACCAAATGTCTGAATTATTCCAAGGATAATTTAGAGCCTCGTTGGGCACAGGCTACTGCCCAGCTGGCCTGCCCCTTAATCCACTTCTGTGGTCAGGTCCAACCTGTGAGGGGAGTCCTAGGAAGACAGACCTGAAGCTGCTCCTGTTGGCACTGGCTCCTCCTCTCTGCTCACTCCCCTCCAGCCACACTGGCCTGCCTCCTAGTCATAGCCACCATCAAGCACGTTCCCACCTCAGAGCCTGACTGGGACATTCTTCCCCATGGTATTGTTCATTCCCTCATTCCACTCAATTCTGTGCTCAAACACCGCCCTATTACAAAGGTCTTCCTGAGGAGTTTCTGAAAGAGCAACTTCTTCCCTCCATCAATTTCTAAGCCTTCAGCATGCTTGACTTTTCCTCATGGGTGCTTACTACCACCTGGAATTTATTTATTTGCTTATTGTCTACCTCCCCCACTAGAACGTAAGCATTGGAAGAACTTTATT